CTTTGGCAGCTGCTGGCGGCAAAAACAGAGGCGGCCCAAGAGCTTGCCGCAGGGAGCTGCTCAATGGCCCAAGAAACCGTGACCAATTTACAGAATGTGGCTCTCAGTGTCATTGCATTCACCGTGGCCAAATCCGTCACTTGACGCATTCATTGGCAATACAATGCAATATATATCATATATCGTCTATGTAATCACAAACATAGACACTCTCGGATACAAAAATCATCAAAAATCTAGCGGGGAGGTTTGGTCCTATCATTTTATAGAGCTCTATTTCATCATATTTCATTCATTTTCCATCATTTTCCCACCCTATTGAACAAATGCAATAGCCCCCATTCAGGTCAGCGCTTGTGATTTTTTTTGTGGGTATCCTGTGACATCTTGTGACTGTTCCTAGATTCTGGCCCGAAAACCTGTCCTCCAGCTTGTTTTTGCACATCACGGGGTGCCTGCGTGTGATTTCATAGAGGGTAAAACATGATAAAATTACGCAAATTGGTTTCACAACTCGTCCCAGCTTGCTGTTTGAATCAGTTTTTGGCACATTAGGGGGTCCACGCGTGTGCTTTCATAGAGGGTAAAAATCACATAATCTGGGTTCAAAACGTGTCCAACCTTGTCTTTTTTACATCAGGGGGGTCCACACGTCTGATTTCATGGAGGGTAAAACCATGTAAAAACGGGTTGGGTTGACAAGCTTGGTTCTGAGATCTTCTGGGTGTGATTGCAGGAAGACTGGCTGCCTTTTGAGAATGGCAACGATAGGATGAGCGAGCTCCAGATTGAGCATTGGTTTGGTCGCTTGAGATCAAAGCAGGCAAATGCCTAAATGTCCGCATCCACCTTTTGGAAGAATGCATCTGCAGACATGTCTCGTTTGGGCTACAAGGTTGGGGATGTGGAGCAGAAGTCCAACAAAAAAGGAAGCGCCTTTGACTGAGAAGCAGTTTCTCTTCAGCAAGAAGACGCGAGCCGTTGGTTGGGTTATGCGAGGCCTTTTCGGGAGGGTCTTGGAGGATTCCTAAACTTAGTAGTAATATGTAGTAATTAAGCTTTATTAATCTGTTTGTTTTTGTGCAGGTTTCAAACGTGCTGCGACCGTGGGTATGATTCCGCTCTTCAGCTTGCAGCGTTTGCACAGAACTGCACGGCTGCCTCCTTGAAGTCCTACTATGAGGAATCTTGCGGTGTTGGATGGTTTCAGGACCGTCAGGCTTGCGCACCCTCGTTTGAGGATGAGGATGAGGATGAGATAGAGGAAGAAGCCCGTGCCACGCAACCTAGCATCAGTTGGTAAATGTTTGCAATTGTTCTTGATGTTTTTGATTTTCAAGGTTTGATTCTAAAAGATTCTATATAAAGGTTTTTGAAACCATTGATCAGGTCCGAGACCGTGCGTTGCCAGCATGTCCTGGGAGAGATAGCGCAATTGGTACAGTCTGAGCGAAGGGAGCAGGGTCAGGGTGACCAGCCTCAAGACGAAGACAATGTTCAGGCTTCTGAGTATGATTCAGATTTGCGGCGCTTGCCAGAAGAATCGAGAACACTGATCCGCGATGCTTGTGAGGGTGAAGAGGCCAAGATCCAGGAAGGCGCACATGCTTCACCGACCTTGCTACGCCACGCAATGTCCTTTGTCAAGATGTTGCAAAATACTTTGGATTGGACATGATATGACTGTCAATGTTCAATACATATTTAAACATTTTAAACATATCTTGGCATAGCAAACATACACACGCACACGACTCAATCCAAGTCAAACCACCATCTAATGTTGTTGACTCCCGCTTGAGGTCATGCGGTGGTTGCAGGTTCAACGCTTTGTTCCGATTATGCGTTCATCTACGTTGCGCCCCGTTTGGAGCGGATAGTACTTGGATGAAGAATCCACGCCGCTTGCTGAAAACCCGGAAGTTGAACTGGTATCAAGAGAATTGCAGGAGACTAGCAGAAACCCAACAGAAGAGCGCATCTGCACGTGATAGGGTCAGGGCAGGCAGGCTTGAGCGGTGGCGGCAACAAGGCGAGAAACTTCGGGAGTCGTTTGCTGTGCCATTGACTCAGCCAGAATGCATTGAGTCATTTGGAGTCATTTGTATTTTGCTTTTTGTACCATTTGTATCATTTTTTTAAACAATTCTTTTTTAAAAAAACATGTTCGTGACACCTGTTGGGTAGCATCTCTATGCCTAGGTCGGGCAATGTGGTGCTCTTTGTCCCATCCAGCCAGTCAACTTCAATAGAAGCTGGTATGATCTTGACTGTCTGGCGGATTGGTCAGAAGAAAAAGGTCGCAGTGGCTCCTTGCAGCGTGGACGCCTGCTATGCGTTCCGTGTGGTGCAACTTGAGCCGGTGAAGGACTGTGACTGGGAGACAAAACAAGAACATACATGAACATACCATAAAAAATCCATTAAAAAATATAGAATACAATTAACATATATTAAAGGCAATTAAATCATATTAAAGCAAATCAAAACTAAAACAAGCAAAACACATCAAACAAGAAGAACTCACCAAGACAAATTTAGACCTATAAAGGAACATAGAGTATATAAAATCTCAAGTATGGGGGTGGGCAAGTTGTCTACCCCTGTTCATGCATGCTTATGGGATCTAAGTTTTAATAGCGGGTTCCATGCCAAACTCTATAAAGTCTGTAGGGTGGAGGTGTGCAAATTGTATGTGTTATACCATTAGTTCCCTAAAAGAACAATGATGTACCTATGTAGTGGACAAATGCAGGCTATGGGTCAGTGCTTGCAATTTTATAGATGACTTTGTCATCTCATGCGAGGATCGCGCCGGTGATTGGGTTTGCAACGCCTTGAGCAGCTGTCGCGTGGTGCCGTTGGAAGCTCTGATAGCCATTCTGGATTGTCAGGATTGTTACCCAGTGCACTATTTGTTCTAGTTTTTTTGATGTTTTTGGTTTGGTACGGTTATTTAATGATCATTTTCTTTCCACGTCATCTTTTTTCTGGGGACTGATCGGACCAATCTCAAGCTCTGGGAACTAGATGGAACTAGAGTGTTCCGGAGCTCAGGCTTTGTTCCCGAGCACGAAGCTATCCATCAGTTGCCCATCAAGTTGACCAGCGCTTCGGTGACTGCGGTTCAGCAGGCCAAGGAGAATGGTGTCAGGGATTGGCGCTGCGCCTTTTTGGAGTCCACTTCCGTTCACACCCGGAAAGTGAGACGAAAGAGAGGCTTCAAGCACTTTCTGGTGAAGCGGGGTGTGAATGCAAAGGGGGGACCTCCCAAGGCGAGATCCAAAGGGCAGAGTGCAAAGCAGAAGGCGGCTGGCCGTTTACAAAGGCCAGCCCGCCACATTGAGTGCATTCCTGCCAACTTCGGCAGATCAGCGCGGGGAAGGGAGTTGATTCGGCAGGAAGTTACAGCGCTGAAGGCATTAGATCGAGGTGCCTTTCCCACGAAGCCACTCTTCGGGGAGGATGGTGTGTGCCGGCTTCGGGTTCCAGAGGCTGAGGGACTGACATGGGATGTTTTGGTCAAGAGGGCGCCAGTCTTCTTGGAGGCCGAATTCCCTTCACGTGTCAGGAACCTCTTTGGCAAGCAGGTCCACGAATACTTGGAAAAGGCAAAGCAGCAGTTGAAGGGTGCGAGGCCTACACGGTCCATGTTCCTGAAGCTTGTGCGGGAGTTGTGCAGGACTCCTGATCCCATTGAGTGATTCGTCCTTGGTAGCAGAAGACAGGAATCCTGACCATCAAGACATATCAACGTCAATGGACTCATATGGAATTCAAATGGCTAATGTTTCTGCAATGTTCTTCATGGTGTTCTTTTTTGTTCGTGTGGGTTCATATTCTGTTATATTCTCAATTTCTCCTTGTATTCGCCAGTGGTTTCTTTGGAAGTCAGGATTTCCGTGCAAAGCGCTTTTGAAGCTACTTAAATGCTTGCGCGATGGGCTGGTAGGGGATTTGACCTGGCTTAAGGAGGCAGCAGGCTGAGGGAATGTGTCTAGAGATGTCTAGAGCAAGCCCAGTGAAGAGGCATGAATACATTGACCGACACGGCGCTTGCAGCGCTCCAGACCAGGCTAGTGAATCAGTAGTGCAAATCAGACAAACATAGACAGACATCAAGAGAAGCAGACCGGAAAAAAGGAGTGAAGCCACGTTCCGTTTCCGTTTCCGACCCGTTTCCGTGGAACTTGACTCTCTATAAAATCACAGCGCACTTCTTGAAAGGATATGTGCACGGACACTCGTACGTAAACGGGGTCATTCAAACAGCCTTAAATGCACGTCCAACCTCACCAAATCATATGTTCCAGAGGACGTATGACCTCACCAAGTCATATACGTGACCACGTGCCACCTCACCAGTTTATATCTATAAAATCTCAAGCAGGACCCCTACCCCTGTATGGGAAGGGGGATGTCATCCCTCCGTTCGGCTTCGGGAGGACGAGGAGAAGGAGATTCGGAAACACCAGACCCCTCCTGGCGCCATGGAGCTGGACTACCCCACACTACCGCACTAGGCTTCCAGACAGGGCACCCCGACAGGAGGATCCTGGTACATGGGATCTTCCACCCGTGCAGAACTTCCAGCCTTTTTTTCATAACTACAATAGCACGCGACTCTACAGGTCTCCGACATGGAGGCGACTTGCAGGCGTTCTCAAGTCGCAGGTTGAAACCTGTTGGAGGGTGCTGGTATATATAAAGAGAGAGTGGCCCCGACAAATACCGTTTCCAGAGCTCGGTGGAGGTCGGAAGATCGGGGGGGAACCCTCGGGCTGTTTCCTTCGGATCCACGATCGCTGCGGATGAAGAATCCAAACGAGTCCGGGCGCCGAAGAATCCGAGTCCGGGCTCGGCGTCGGACCCGACCCGACCCGGACCCCCGAGTGACTCCGATTTTCAGGGCCCGAAACCAACCCTATCTGGTTCGGGCAAGGATTCGGGAATGAGAGCACTTCGGGCCCAGCGGATCCCGACGCCCTGATGGATCTCAGGGGATGCGGGGGAACGACTCCGTTCCCTTCAAGGACGGATGAGAGCGGGATGAGGATGGACGAGTTCGAATCGTGGAGAACCCCATTTGGACCATGTCCATGACCCGAGTTGTTGGGCATGTCCGACATGATGTCCTGTGTGTGCTGTAGTCGAACTGGACTTCTATCTTCTATAGGGACGAAGGGATGGCTTCCCTTGGAGACCTGGAGATGGAAGAGGTCAGTTTGACCTGCATGATGAAATACTGGACTGGAGTTGGTCATACAAAAAATTCTCAAGGAGGTAAAAGACCAGGTTTGGACCTGGGTCAGACTGGATGTACGTAGGGAATCGTAGGGAATGATTGTAACATGATCCATCATGGTCCGATGAGTGAATATTGCGGGTGCCAAGATCTTTGTTCTTCGAACTGTGCAAACATGTTTTGTTTTTTCATCATAAGAGAAGAGCCAAGTTTGGCAGACGTTTGTTGCGTTGGAAGATCTATCACACGTCTCTTAGATCATTCCGTGTATCATGGCAGTATTGCAGTTGTGTCGGACACATCCCCTTCGCCAGTGATCGACTCCTGCGGCAGAGCCCGGGCCTGCGTGGATGGAGACCCCCAACGACAATGCCGAACGGAACGACCGCCTTCTCTTCACTGGGAAATGGCGGGCATCCTTGTTGCAGTTTCCCATTCACCGAAACCGTTCGACCATGGAGAGTCAACAGGTTAATTGTCGTCGAAACCCCATAAGACCATGGGACTGGGACCATTCAAATCCATTGCGGCCGCCTTGGGTGGGTGGATACCTCCAACCGTTTGCTTTTGGCTTCTGCATTGATCCAGTTGTTCATCGCCCTGGGCCCCCCGGTGTCCAATGGAAATTCAATAAGCCAAATTAGATCTTCCAACAGTATACAGTGGATCTAGGATCTTCCACCTGGCGTATTATAGTTGGAAGATCCAATGGAAGATACAGTTAATACCCCTGGATCTTCCAACTGTTAACTGTGCCAAATTGCTGCCTTTCTCCCCTGTGTTTGTAAAGGAAAGGAGCCTTCCAAGGGATCATTTTGTCCACTTCCATGTTAGTGATTCAGAGTGTATCCCTAGGATTCCAACACCATTAAGTTAAAATACCAAACAACCACTAAGGATTTTACTACAAACATTTGTTTAAACACGTTTACACGCTCTGTACCTTGTGAAGCTTCTCTAGCTGGCTGGATGATCTATACGACACGAATTTGTGTTTCCTTTGTGCGGCAGCGAACGATAGGAGCAGGGTCGACAGAGCTTCTTTCTCTAAAACGCCAGGCAACCAGGCTGCAGGATCGTCATGTCTTCCTGAAGGGTGGTGTTTTTTCGGTTTGTTATTTTCTCTTGGGCCTCTTTTTGAGACGGTTGAAATAGCTCCCAAGGTGAGGCAGGCCGCCTTGGCCGGATTCAGAGTAGATGGCACAATGTTTGAGAGGTGGTTCATGACAAATGGAGCCCCATCCTCTTGGGGTGCCAAAAAGACTTTTAGATCAGACTGGATACTCCCCGCCAAGCACCGGGTTTCGAGGACACTGCGATCAAAAGACACACCAGTGACTTCTCTGGGTGGACGCCGCGAATCGTCTCACTTTAATTGCCCCTTCACTTGAATTGGGTGCCCTAGCAATTTCTATACAGAAACATGATGCCCAACACATGTTCTTCACTCGCGCACGCTCGCACGGTGCAGCTGTCCCGACTGTCGCTCAGGTTCAGCATGGTTCAGCTGTGCAGCTGTGCCATGGGCATCAAATCTGGGACTCAGCTCGTTTCACTCCGGGGAGATTGACTCATCAAGGGGTCTTTGATGTTGGGGTCTTTGATGGTCGACCTGCAATCCCCCAAAAAGACCTACCAGGGGCCTCACAAACCAGCAAAGACCTGGTTTTCCCTAACAAAACAAACTCTAACATGGCAAAAAAACACATGGTTTTTCGAGGTGACCACTTCTATTTGTCATGGCTTTGAGGGCCACTGGCAGTGGAGACATTCTTTTCCCGCACCCCAGGCACAAAGAATAGAAAAAACCTCGTGAGAAAGTCCATCTCTGGGCACAGTAAGAACTGGCCACGGCCTCGAAAGTGGTTGGTTTGGTTGAGGTACAGCCTGGACCGAAATACAGGCAAAGCGAATGATTTGCCATGATTTGCCGACTGGACTCAAGTGGGGTCCGGGTTGCGAGGACAGCCCGGTGGTGGGCACACCGTTGCCAGCCCGGCCGACCGACGCTGGAGACCAATTCTTTGGTTCTCACATCACCGTGGTTTTTTTCTTCGAACATCACCAGGGGCCCTCATCAAACCCACGCAAAAATGCATGTCTTCACACAAAAAGCATCAACACCTACTGTTTTTGCGGAAGATTCGTCGATGGTTTGTTTTGTGCCCCTGGTCCACTAGTGACCGATCTCGTTGCCGTGCCAGTGCAAGGAATGTGGAAGGTCTTGGAATTTGCTTCAAATCATGATGGAGAAAAAACACACATCTTCACACAGGCTCGAAATCCTGAGTCATAATTAAAAAAAACATTGCCATGTTCTAAGGTTCTCCTGAAAGCTTCTGGCATCTTCACTCATCTTCACTCCCTTCGGCCTTCCAATCCGAAGGCACTCCAAGTTGGGATCTGGGCGGGTCCTCCTGGACCGCAGACCCTCTCTCTCTGAAGACGGCGATGTGCTGAAGACGGAGAGCGGAGAGCGTGTGTGCACGGCACGAGACCTGAGCCGGCTTAGCGACTTTGATCGGCGGCCTCCACCGGCGCCTCCACTTACCAGCACTCTCCTGGCCAGGCTGTTAGTTGAGGGTTGTTGGACCCAGTCTCAGGTCGAACCATTGGTGACCTGTCGGAGGGCCCTGGTAGTAGGTTCTCTGTTCCTGGTGTGGAAGCCAAATGGAAGAATTGAGTTGATAGCACTCAGAGTAACTGATCAAGGAGTTCAAGACCCATTTCTTTAAGACATCATATAGGCATCTAACCAGGACCGACTCAAGGTGAAGTCTTTGTTCGTGACCTCTTCAGGGCAGTTATAGTTCTTCGAGGTTGCTTAATCTTAATTTAAAGATTTCTTGGATGAACAGTGCATACATCTAAGGACCTAATGGCTTAAAAAGAGCAGGTGAAAACGGTTGAGGTCGGATGTTCAAGGCGGTTTCAACTCGGTCACGATGAAAGGCAGGACGAGCCGTGAGGCCGCTGTTGCAACAGTCGCGGCTTCGGCATCGAATACCCAAGCGCACGACTGCTTGGAAACGAAGCGGCTAGTTGGTAATCTCAAAATCTTTATACTTCAACTGTTGCTTCCCTTATAGGTCTGTGAAAGCTCTGACGTTCCAAGTGGGATTATGGGATAGGCCAAGGAACAGTACATTTTGTGACGAGTTTGGCTCTTCCTTCCGCCTGCTTATATGGTTGGTGATACGCAAACCCATTAATCGAGGTGTTCAAATACAAAATCATGCTTTCTTTCCAGGGGAAAACCAGATCTTTGATGGTTTGTGGGGCCCCTCGCATATAGAAGACGGTGGTTGCTGGCGTTTTGAGGAGAGCCAAGATCACGGTTCACCCGGATGGGCGCTCAATCATCCAACGATACTTTCTGATGAAGGACAGGGCGTTCAGAACGTCGTTGCATTGGAAGTCATGGAGACCGTTTGTTCGATCGTGCGCGTGGTTCACATTGATTCGGGGAAGGTCTGTGTGGCCAAACCTGGCATCGGCAACGGCAGAACCATGCGCCCTGTCGGTACAAGGTACCAGGTCCTTCGACACCAGTGGTGTCGGGATGAGGGTGTCAGCTTGAAACGCACAGGTCCGGTCTGAAAGACCCGTTTGTGTCACGATGCCCTTTGTTCCGTTAGCATCTCATTGGATCAAGTCATATCAACTCCGTGTGAGGAGCGGTAGCCTTCAGTTCACTGACCTGTAGCCTTCAGCGGTATCTCCTGCCGAGACACGGGAGATGCCGTCAAGAAACACGCCTGCCGCGTTCTTTTGGCGGGGTGGAATCAGGACACCTCCCACCTGGCGGGTACAGAAAAGCGAAGAACCTGTACAGGATGTCTCAGCTGGACGCATGAGAGGCATGGAGTCCCAAATACAAGACATGGAAAAGAGCAGCCGGGAGCTGCTGTGGCCTGCTTTGATGTGGGCCAGGGCAGCTTTGACGAGAGTATATATAATACATGTTCAAAAGATACGCTTTCCACTGGGCCTTTTCAGCTTGCCATTCGGGTTGGTTCTTTTCGTTTGATTCAGATGGCCTGGCTTGATCAGAAGAAGAGAAGGAGCCATCCCTTCACAACATCCCAAGCCTTTGTTCTTCCGGAGCCCAAGCCTTTCGGTTTGTTCGACCGACACGAGGCGAACATGACCCGTCCGGGGGACCCGGAAGGCCGTTGAAAGTCCTCTCCAGGGGGTCCCAGTAGCATCCAGCATCGCACCGTTCGTAGCAGTCCTCAGTCTCAGTTTGTAAGGCCAGGAGCCCCGTTCGTGTCACGATGCCCTTGTTCCTAGTAGCTTGGACGTCTTAAGGAACAAGCCCCCTAACATGCACGTCCTGTCTGGGTGGTTTGTCTGGAGACCTGTTTAATTACGTAGGGTAGCCAGGACACGGCAGGATGATCCTAGTATACCAAATAGAGAGGTCCACCGAATCCATGGTTTGGTTGGAAAGGTGCCAGGACACCAAAAAGCCACCATGTTCTTCTTGTTACTACAGGTGAAACGATTCCCAGTGAAACGAATCCCAAGGAAGCTTCCTTCTAAAAAGTTGTTTGTTAATAGTTAATAAGAAGCTTCAAAGACATACTATAAAAAGCTTATTGTTACTGCAGGTGAAACGATTCCCAGTGAAACGAATCCCAAGGAAGCTTCCTTTTTCCATGCCCGATTCGGACGGAGCTTGAAGTCCAGAATTATGAAAAGGTCTTTCATATGGTCAGGCCAGAATCCTTGATTTAAAAAATCAAAAAGTGAAAACAATCAGTCAATTGGAAAAATCAAAGTCATAAAAACGTCGAACAAAAAGTCAAAGACAATGTCAAAAAACAAAAATATACCACAGCTCGAAAAAGTCAAAGACAAGTTAAACAAATAATCAAACAATTCAAAAAATATATAACAACCCGAAAAAGAAAAACAATCATAAATCGAATCAAAAGTCAAAAAAAGTCAACATAAAACCACTTGAAAAATGTAAGAAGCAACACGGTCAAAAAAGAAGTCAAACAAACAGTGAAAAAACAGGTCAAGAAGCAGTGGGATCTGTGCACATTGCATTTTTTGACTTTCTGAAACTTTCTGATTGACTTTTTTGACTTTGACTTTTGGGACTGACTTGTTTGACTTATTTTTCGACTTTGAAAAAAATTACACCGGCAAGGGACCCCAAATAGTGTAAAGAGGAACAGATGGAACATGGCATCACGTGGAAGGAAAGAAGGAACACACAGATGAAAGCACAAATATGAGAGGAGACGGACAAGAGCACAAATGTGAGAGTGCACAGATGAGAGCAGCAGATGCGGAAGCATGTGAAAGACCAGAAGCATTTCGCAGTTCACAATGTACCGCGCCTGCCACGAAATCTGCACATCGAGGTTCACAAAGTACTGCGCCTGCCACGAACTCGGCACATCGAGGTTCACAAAGTACTGCGCCTGCCAGGAAATCTGCACATCGAGATTCACAAAGTGCTGCGCCTGCCACGAAAT